AAGTGGTTATGGTTGTGAATCATCACTAAGAACCAAAACTCTTGTAATTTACAACATTAACAAGACAAGAGATTCTAACACTATATGGTCCTGTAGAAATAATAACGGGAATAGTAACCGATATATTCTTCCTGTTAGGACAGGTATTAAACAGTTTAATATACATATAATATGCTCTAATATTGTATCACAAAGGTTCGGAAGGGCGGCTTTGAAAGTAAGGGCCATTTTGTAAAATATTTACGAAAAGAGCTTGTTACCAGAAATCTCGTATTTACTACACATTTTCTCAGCAACTTGAACAATAAAAATAGACGAGTACCAGATCATTTTATTTTCTATCTGTACGAACAATCCAAACCGTTAGACAAAATTCAAAGTCCTAAAAAACGATATAGACAATAGTGTAATAAGGCAAAATAGTGTAATCAGCATATGGACTGTTCACCGTGTACAAAATACATGACAAACAGTGGTAACAGGTGTCCGGAAGAGTAAGCTTACCCTGCCTGGCGCCACACCCGCCATAGCTGCATCCAAACACTTAGGCGAAATCTCGGTAAAATAGCGTGATTTGCCAATGGACTATCGGTATGCAAAATGATCAACGAAAGTATTTATAGGATAGTATGACAAATTTGGTATATATTTGGAGAAAGAAGAGACACCTTATCTTATTAGAAAAATATATGACTTAATGAAAAACACCTTTTGGCAGCTTTGGCAGCTTGTTGTCTCCTTGGATGACGTAGGGGGCACTTGGTTTGGGTGATCGAACGGCTAGCCGTTGTGAAAATAGTGATGGGCTTACATATGCTGCCGACTTTTCTATTAAATAAGGCATAAAGATGTTGGCTATGGATAATTCAATAATTTACCTTGTATATTTTATGGAAACGACAAATTGCACAAGTTGTACATGAACCACCATAAGTTACTTGAGGCACAAGGCTGCTTAAAATAGACCTGTACAGAGGAGTTGTTCTCTTCCAATTAAAATCTTTTAAGAAGAATTTAAAACCAACTTTTGATAGAGAAATTAATTTGAATGTGATTCAAAACCAAATCACAAACGCGAAAAGGCATCTTTTAAAGTGCACTCTTGCTCAAAATTCATTTATGTGATAAGTATTTGTTTGTCCGAAATATACTCCCTCCTATATGTCACAGTGTCAAACCACAAGGACAGGTTTCATATGTTAACCTGTTGGAAGGAGAGTTGGATATAGATAGACGAGTCCGATTTAAATCTTAGGTTTGTCGAGGTTTTGATATCTTGCTGAAGAGTCGCGTGCACATATTTGATGTAAGTATCCACATTACAAAACGATGTTATTGTGTCATGTCTTTAAAGAATTTTGTCTTTTCCTTAAAGATCCACCGCAGTGTGAATTAACAACAAATATTAGATACAATAAACCCGGTGATCCAGACGTTGGTAACCAAGATGATAATACACTGGTTTTATCTGAAGGTGATGATCTTTATTTAAACTGTTCGGCATCCATTGTTTCTAGTGATCATACAAACAATGAAATAACCTACCAATGGAAGATTTATGGAGATAAAGATGAAATATACAATGGATCAGTTTATGTTAAATCAAATATAACAAGATTAGACGGGGCTATGTACATGTGTACTGCATCTATAGGGTCATATTGTACTAGTAGTGATGTCACGTATATACAGATACAATGTAAGTATAACCTCACTGTACTGTATTAGTAGAAATGTAAGTATAATAATACTAGTAGCAATATCAGGTATGTACAGATACAATATAACAATATTGTACCAGTAGTATATAGCGATATTATGTAAGTGAAAACAATGATGTGCTAGTAGCAATATCAATAATATACAGATACTATGGAGGTATAATAATACCGTATTAGTAGTATTATCTAGTCTAGAGATACACTGCAAGTATAACAATATTGTTCTAGTGGTAATATCACGTATATACACAGTACTGTACAATGAAATTGTGTGGATATAAAACTATTGTGACATATCTGTGTCAGGGGAATTTTAGATTGTCTTACTGTATATTTAACGCAATTAGTACTGACATCAATAAATACAAAAATATGACTAAGCCGAAAGTCGACAAGACGGTATACAAGCCAAAATGCAAGTCGAAAATAAGAAATTAGGAAAAAACGACGGGCGCTATTATCGCTGTGTTATTTCTTAATTTCCTATTTTCGAGTTGATTTTGGCTTGTATACCGTCTTGTCGCCTCACATTTTGTCGTAACTTCTACTTTTCGACTTTCGTGTTTTGAAGAGGCGAAAAGTAGAAATTATAAATGGTAGTTATAGGCTTCCATACATGTCCGTTGACATAGGGATAAGAATGCCAATGATTACTGATGGAGTTATTTCCCCTGCTTCATATTTACTGTGAACAGTTGACATTTGCAGGGGGATATACTGTTATGTTATAAAGCTGGCTTCTTCTCATATCGCCGACTCACCAGAATTTGGAAAGTCGACCGCAGCACTCTTTGATGGGTTAAAAACGGATTAAAAGCGTTAATGAGGCAGGGACCAGTCTTTATTAATATAGTTCACTTAAATTGATTTTTATCAGAATTCAACCCAACTTGAATTTTGTCAGAATTCAACTCACTCATTAATTAATAAAATAATAGGCTACAGTTCAACATAAAGCTGACAGGAGATCGAAATTCAGTTCATTGTGATTATTTCTCATAATAAGTATAAATACGTAAATCATTCTAAGACATTTCATATTCATTTCTTTCTACGATGGCTAATGCACAGTTACAATCTACGTTTATTCCTACACAGCAAAAGGTTCAGATATCTATGCGTTGCTGGTTTTAAGTATAGACTAAATAAGAGAAGAATAACGGCTTAGTGATATGGCAGTGCTGTGAAAATGCGAAATATAGACAACTGGCCGACTACGTGGTTACGCAATGGTTAGACGGCCATGTTACCCAAATACAAAGGGACCACATCCAAACCACACGAAGAACCAATAAATCTTTAGAGGGATGGTACGGACGCCCCAAAAAATTCATTGGAAAAGCTTACCCTAATATTTTTGAAGTAATTGCAAAAGACGATTGAAATTCAGTTATTGCAGTATTCAAGTGGCCAGCGACAACCACGTAAAAAGATCAAATATACCGATATCAACAGGAAGATTGAATATTCTAAACATAGATAAGAACAAGGAAGAATGAATTTGTTAGAAGTTTTGGACTATGTTGCACACCATGCGTGCAAAAAGTTTAAATTATGTGTTATGTTATGTGTTAAAGGTTGTTATAAGTTTTTTTTAAAAAAATAAATGCTCCCAAAATTATCTGCTTAATTAGTTTTATCCTTTAGCTTGGGTCTATTGTTCTTGGCCCACCCAAAATTGTCCCCTAAAACTCGGCGAGTCGGCGATATGGGAATGAACCATAAAACTATGCCCAATAATAACAATGATCGTATATGTACTATTTGTGGAGAGGAGTCGTAGATAGGCTAAGTTTGACTGAGTGGTGATAATTGTGATGTTTTACTGTATGTACCTTTAGATGTTATATAAGTAAACCTAAACCCAGTAAAATATAGATTATCCAACAAAGCAAATTAATCAGATTATTCAACAATATCTTTTTGATTTTATGGAAACTTGGTATTTCTAGATTCACTAGTTTACATATGTGTATGTTTAGATTTACCTTGTTTAAATGTGACTACCACATCGCAATTTCAGATCCTCTTAGTCTGAATATAACGGTCCATGCTACACCAGAATCCATTGAACCGAGTTGCCGAGTGGTGGACGGCTACCCTACTAATTATACCATGAGTAACTGGAGACATTACATTGATGGTCAGTTTGTGAGAGAAATAGAGGGAGTGGTAACAGAAGATAGAACAGCCTTAGTTTTAAATAACACCATATTAAATGGGGGAACTTATGTCTGTAATGCTAGTAATGGTATTAAAGATTTTAGAGGTTCAGTTTATCAAACAGAAGAAACATACATCAATATAGAAGGTAGGTTTATCAAACAGACCAAACATACATCAATATAGAAGGTAGGTTTATCAAACATACATCAATATAGAAGGTAGGTTTATCAAACATATGAAACATACATCAATATAGAAGGTAGGTTTATCAAACAGACCAAACATGCATTAATCTAGAAGGTAGGTTTATCAAACATACATCAATATAGAAGGTAGGTTTATCACACATATGAAACATACATCAATATAGAAGGTAGGTTTATCAAACAGACCAAACATGCATTAATCTAGAAGGTAGGTTTATCAAACAGATGAAACATACATCAATATAGGAGGTAGGTTTATCAAACATATGAAACATACATCAATATAGAAGGTAGGTTTATCAAACAGACCAAACATGCATTAATCTAGAAGGTAGGTTTATCAAACAGATGAAACATACATCAATATAGGAGGTAGGTTTATCAAACATATGAAACATACATCAATATAGAAGGTAGGTTTATCAAACAGACCAAACATGCATTAATATAGAAGGTAGGTTTATCAACAGATGAAATATACATCAATATAGAAGGTAGGGTTTATTTGATTTTGAATCAATCTGATCCCCTTATCACCCGTCAGGTAACAGAGCAATTTGAACTCTGTTTGAAATTCAGCATACTTTGAATCACTTGGTGAGCTACAACATTAACATGGTACTAGTAGTGTTCTAGTCTAAAATTGAACTTCACGTGAAGTAAACGGATAGTGTGAAACAATAAAAAAACGACATTTGAGAACAAAAATCTGCTTTTGTTTTCAGCACTACCGATGATACTAGAAGTTTCCAAAGTTTCTGAAGCACTGGTCGGATCTGAAGTTGAAATTTATGCAACGTTTATAATTGGGGGAGATGTTTATAACACCACGTGGTATCAACAACAAGTTAACAGTTGGAATAAAACAGAAATATCAGTTGATACAAAATCTGAACAAGCCATTAGACCAGTAAATATATATGGTACTTTAATAAATAAACACGTTACAATTATATCAGGCAGTGTATCAATTAGTGACATGGTGAATATCACTGTTACTGTAACTGTATGTACTCAGTATGGTTGTACAGTTTCTGTTCACTATGTGAGAATTGTATCAGAAGATCAAAGGACAAAATCATTGGATTCAACAAAGGGTATTTTTGCTTTTAACACATTTCTAATAAAGTCAGAAGTTTTATCTTAAAGACATTCATCGTTTGCCGTTCTAAACTGTTAACATCGTATAATTGAATTCAATAATGTATGTGTTTTTGTCACATGACGTTTTAAACCTACCAACGCAAATCAACATTCGTCGACTATAAACTGTCGTTGTAATTTTACAAATAATGGTCCATATCATGGCTTGTCGTTATTCTTGTTCATGTTAAAACCAAAGTCATTTAAAATAATGTATTCATTATTTCAACCTTATTTTCCTGTCAATATATAATAAATATGTGGATTATTTTGTAGAGGACGAACCCTCACCTGAAATCAACATAGGGCTGATTAGTGGAGTGATTGTATCTATAGTATTAATATTACTTGTCGGTTTTATTATCTTCATGGTGGTCAGAAAAAAACGACAGCCTAATCAAGGTAAGATTGTCTCTTTTGTCACAAACAAAACGACAGTTGAAAACCAATCAAAGTTTGGTTTTCTGTTTTGTCAGATCTCGTTTCCTAAACATATTTTGGAGCAGGGAGCAGGAACTGGGCTCCAAGCGCTGCTCATCACGTTGTTCATATTTTTCTAATTCTTGTTCTTGATAGAGACGTCCTTCACAGAATGTCCAAGGCTTCATCAATTCAAGTACGATCGACATGCAACTGTGCATGTTTGTTCCTTGTACAATTGACGGACGTCCATTTTGATATGACGTCACAATTCAACGATGGCGGTAATGACACATTGTTCTGTTCCTAGTTAATGATATGGTCTGAATGACACTGTCACTAACTTATTCGCTTTATTGCCTAACGTCTCACATCGACATCACTAATGTTAATATCTTTTTCTAAAATCCTGCATTTCTTTTTCCTCAATTAGCAATGTTTTCATTAATATTGAAATTAAACTGATATTCCTGTCTCTATGATATCTAAATATTTATATTATATTCCGTTATCTGTTTAAAATAGAATTGGGTCCACATTGCAGACATGACGTGTTGGTCAATTTAAATCAACATTGGTGTTATTATCTTACATTGAAAAGATGGGCTACTGATATCCAATATTAACAAAGCAGGGTCCATTCTCAATGTCACAATCCCATCGATCGTTCCGTACTCTATCCCGTTGATGTGTGCGCGTTTCTCCAATGCAACAAATGGCGAAAATTACAGGCCAAGACATACATGAGGTTGACGCTAAAAGTAAAGTTATGAAAATTATTCATTCTAAACTTAACAAAGTATAACTCTTGGGAGTTTAATTTTCAGAAAATTTGACGTACAGTGGATTAGAGATTGGTCCTGAGATTGGTAGGTTAGAATCAACCTATGACGATTTAAGAACCTATGTTTACGTAAGATCTCCTCCTAATGACCAAGGTGTAGCTAACACTTCAAGTCACGGCCCTCCTGTCCCGGAAGCAGCTAATACTTCAAATGACCACCTCCCTGTCTCACGCGAAGTCCTCAACAACTCAACTTATGACGGTCTTCGGACAACCAATGATGTGAGAATTTACGACACTCTGAACCCTGCTGAAAAAACATACGAAAACATACAGGACTCAAATGAAATGTAGTATTTCGTAGTTGGAGCCCATTTACGAAGCCTGTATAAAATTGTAAATAACATACAAGTTAGGTATCCGGAGTTTAAACTGAAGATGACTTAACTACCAAATTTAGATGTTCCCATACCAGTGTTTTATTTTTAATCTAAAGAATTCAATTATTAACGTGTTTTATACGTGTTTTAACGCTTTAAGGAGAACAGCCAGACAATTTAACTCCTTACATACATAAAATGATATGATACTAGTTTTTAATTTTGTTTTGTAATGTTTGTTTTTATTGAAACTATTTATATACATAAACTAATCTGATATTATACCTGCTTTCATTTTAACCATATCATACTTTTTTTTTAAATTTTAGCAATTAAATGTATATATATTTTGTTTTTTTTTATATTTCAACGAGTTTTCCTGACGTGTCATCAAACAAAATGTCATTGACATCTAGTTAATATTTGTATTGGTAACGATGATATCATTTCCCTGATATCTATCTTGATATGTCGGACGTCTGTCTGGATATCTCGGACGTCTGTCTGGATATCTCGGGCACCTGTCAGATTGTCCCAGGCATCTGTCTGGTTGACTTCAGTAGGAGCCTGAATTAATGTTTTTTACTGATAACAATAGCATTACTCAGTAGATTAATGTACAGGGTTATACATTTACTCTGCTATCAACTTTCATACTTATAACATAGTATATGAGTATTATTTAGTACAATGGCTTAGTTCTCCGCCATAAATTTCAGATTATTTCTTTGGATTTGTAAAGGTGTCTATTTCAACACTTCTAAATAATTAATATCCCAACAATAAATTCTGCATTGACCGAGAAAGTTCATCCAGATTTTCCAGCGTGGTCCCCCCTCGTCAGTGATGCAGGACGGAGGGCCTGACAAGGACATCTGTCTAGTCCTTCGGATGAGACGAAAAAAACCGAGATCCCGTGTATACATTGAAATGCACGCAAAAGATCCCTTGGCAGTTGGAATTCGATATAAAAGTAGGCGATAGTGCCGTTGCCTGGGCAAAATTTCCTCATAGCACACTGTATGGCGCATGCCAGTCTGATCATTAGCCCAGCATAGTAGCAGAACAGTAGGACGTTAAACCCCATTTCATTTCATTTCATTTATTTCCACAATAAATTCAGATCACATTAATAAACTGTATATGTATTAGTGGGTACATACTGGATTGTCAATTTCTATATCCCTATTGGGGTTATCAACAAAGGTAGTTAACTCATCATTACTGTATTTGTGGTGTAAAATAATTATCTACTGTTAAACAAGAATATAGAAACAATAAGACTCAGTTCTACATGTGTAAAACCAGACAGGGGTTGTTGTGGCCGAATAGACGTGCCCTTTGAGTCATTTGATATGTCGTTGAGATTGTACGTGCAGGGTCGTGACGACCCCGGTGGTTCCCCCCCCCTCTCCCTCTCTCTCTCTCGTCGCTTGTCCCTAATACCACTCTATACTAATGATTATATTATTTTTTATAAATGTGTGATATATTATGTTGGTGATTATTTGAATATTTGTTAATGAGTCGTCTGAATGAATAAATACCTACAGCTTTATTTAATGTACAATGCGTGTTTCAATGATATATTGAGGTCATCATGTATGTATTACAGTATAACCTGTTTCATTGACGATCTACTCAATTACTATACTATATCAGTGACGATTTAGTTATTGTACTACATAGTAGAGCATGGTGTTTAAAGTCGACACATCACACATTAGGTAATCTTTTGGCCAAAACTTATACCCACGCGGATCTTTAGCAGTGGAAAAAACCCGGAGATCCCAGCAAAACAATACCCAGCGATCCTACTCTTTAATAACAATACTTGAGTCATTGACGGGGCTTTTAATCTGCGCCCCGCCCAACACCATACATCCCCACCCACACACAACAAATTAAAGGATATATATAACGGTGAAATAAAGTATTGACTTTGAGTTGATCTTGTGTTTTATTCTCCTTAGTGATGGAACGATCTAAAAAAAAACTTAAACGGAAGTTCAACACGTACAATGCAACTAGATCAATTATTGAGGATTAGTGGGACCATAGCACAATTACGGTATACCGTGTATGTTAGGGCAAATATTTACTATTGGACCTAATGTGGGGTTCCGCTTACTGTACTTCGATTTCCAACTGTCAAATGTTCTGCCATGTGTATTCCAATAAATTAGCATACTTTCCTTGTCAACCTGACAGGCCCTGGTCCTTTCACCTGAAGGCCGGCACGATAAAATCCCTACTCATAGCCACTTTAAACATGTATTATCAAGTTAGTCTAACCGCGTACCAGGAAGTAATATCAGTAACAAGGATAAATATTTCACCATACTGACATAATATAGTTCAACGTACAGGATAAGATTAATAAATAGTGATTAAAACAAGGTTTAGATCGATTGTCCAGTAAATACATACAATGATCTGTGATATTATAAAAACACTTCTGTTTATTCTGATCTTGGGACAAGAAGGTAAGATATTTAAATTGTACATTCATAATCACATCATCATATTTTTAGTAAATATATTTTTCCTATAAAAGGCCTTTACAATTGTATTATTACTCACTAGACAGAAACAAATCTCAAATCAACAGTCAATGTACTCGAATCATAGGTAGGGACTATGTATATCGATATTGTGTGCGCAGCATTTTAGAAAATAACAAAATGATTTAACTATGTTGAAAATGTGGTGTTTAGATGTAGTCAACCGGTTAATCGGCTCGCTTGAAAACGACTTAGTTTCATAGTTTATATTATGAATATCGTGCAGGTGTATTTTATAAATATAGATGCACACAGTCGTATCTCCTATATCTTTGTGAGTTGTTTTTATATATACACTCATTTCTATGACAGGCGATAAACTGACACTGTCGTGTACTACCATGATGATACCATAGTGGAAACAACACATCAACTACACCATATCAAGTTCAACGGAGAAGTGCACATACCTGACAAACCTTTCTTTTATTATTATTGACGAGAAACTGTTGCTTAATGCCTAGTTCACACTTGGGACAAATTAACGGTGATGTGGAAATATACAAAATGGCTCCCGATGCCCCCCATCCCCACCCACGCCAAAAGAAAAAACGGAGTAGTCCCATGAGAAATGGCACGTATTAGGTATCGGGGATGGTCCGGTGAAAGTTCACTGATGCTTCGGCAATGGTCATACAGCTTCTGAGAATGTCGCATGAACAATTGCCGTGACTCATCGAGGGTGGCTCTAAATTATCGGGAAAGCTCTGGGGTACCATCACCTATATCGGGAAAACTGGCCGGGAGGCATCCCCACAGATTTCCAGATCCAGATATATTCCCCGTAGCATTCTCGATTCAAATATGCTCAAAGATTCCCCCCCACACACACACACGCCGATACTTCAGTGAGACATCGCCGATGCTTCGAGGGTACCTAGGGGGAGCAATATTTCGTGGATGCTCCAGGAAAGCATCCTCGGAGCTTTCTTGTGGATCTGAGAAGCTCCAGGTATGCCTTCCCGGTCTGTTTTCCCTACAAAACCTCGAGAAAACATCGAGAAATTTCTTTTGTCGTTCTCCCGAGACCTGGCGATTGTTCCACATGGCTCGTAAGCCCCCGAAGCTTCCTTGGGACGCCGCGGAACTGTTCCGAGACTCATCATTTTCCATCACGAGTACATCCCCAGTGAGACCTAGGCATAAGCTAAACGCCTAAACCTTGTCCTTGATTTGGTATTCCACTTCCAGCCACGTACACCCAAGCAGGTTATATTGCTTAGTCATAATTAATACAATCATTAAAAAAGATTTATGTTTCAAAAAAGTAAAAAACAATTTAATTCTAAAGATCAAAAAGGCTTATTTTATCTAATAAATGTCACTACAGTCGACTGCGCCAAGTTCCGATCCATCGATAATAATTACATACTGTACGAACTGGCAAATCTTTCTACTACAAGTACCAATATGATAAATAAACACATGTTGTCGGCATATTCTACTAAAAGTACCAATATGATAGATAAACATATTTAGTCGACATATTCTACTAAAAGTACCAATATGATAGATAAACATATGTAGTCGACATATTAAAAGTATCAGTACGCTAGTTAAACACATGTAGCCGACATATTAAAAGTATCAGTATGCTAGATAAACACCTAAATGCATATATTTTATATTAAATTAAGTAAGTTAATAGTGTATTGCCGTCTTTTCATTTATACATTGATCATACATAATAAATAATTCAAAACTCTAAAAACACTCTGCATTTTAACATTGCGACAAGTTAATAGGCTTTACATTCGACGAACTACCAACTAACACAATACATGTAAATACATTATACAAACTACTTTTGTCAATTATTTGTGCCTGTGACATAGTTGATATGTAAGTGATATTTCTCTACTATAAATAACACAATACTACGCTATAAATAACAAAGCATTACCTTATGTATATTGTTACAAGACCATTTACCGGTAAATTGGCTTAAATTATAGAGCAATGGTTTCCATGTTCGGATAAATTTGCTTAATTCTGCATTTGTGCAAATTGTTTGTTAATTTCATTAACCGAAATGAAGTGAAACGACATTGTTATTTGACAGAGTATTACTATCTGACTCGATATCTATCCAGGACTTTTTGTAACCTTGTGTGGTGATATGATAAGTCATTGTGTCATGTTATGGTAATTAGATAGTGGGAAGTAAAGACTAATACAATCTAAAAGCGACATGTGCCTATTACAGGTGATAAATCGTCGGTGTCGCTGAAATCTACAGTCCATCTTATAGGCAGTAAATCTAATATACAAAATGGCTCCTGATGCCCCCCCCCACCCACGCCAAAAGAAAAAACGGAGTAGTCCCATGAGAAATGGCACGTATTAGGTATCGGGGATGGTCCGGTGAAAGTTCATTGATGCTTCGGCAATGATCATACAGCTTCTGAGAATGTCGCATGAACAATTGCCGTGACTCATCGAGGGTGGTTCCAAATAATCGGGAAAGCTCTTGGGTACCTTCACCTATATCGGGAAAACTGGCCGGGAGGCATCCCCACAGATTTCCAGATCCAGATATATTCCTTGTAGCATTCTCGATTCAAATATGCTCAAAGATCCCCCCCCCCCACACACACACACGCCGATACTTCAGTGAGACATCGCCGATGCTTCTAGGGTACCTAGGGGGAGCAATATTTCGCGGATGCTCCAGGAAAGCATCCCCGAGGCTTTTTTGTTGATCTGAGAAGATCCAGGGATGCCTCCCCGGTCTGTTTTCCATCACGAGTACATCCCCAGTGGGACCTAGGCATAAGCTAAACGCCTAAACCTTGTCCTTGATTTGGTATTCCACTTCCAGCCACGTACACCCAAGCAGGTTATATTGCTTAGCCATGATTAATACAATCATTAAAAAAGACTTATGTTTAAAAAAAATAAAAAAACAATTTAATTCTTAAGATCAAAAAGTCTTATTTTATTTAATAAATGTCACTACAATTTACTGTGCCAAGTTCCGGTCCATCGATAATAAATACATACTGTACGAACTGGCAAATCTTTACATGTAGTCGACATATTTTACTAAAAGTACCAATATGATAGATAAACACATGTAGTCGACATATTAAAACCCTAGATAAACACATGTAGTTGACATATTTTACTAAAATTATCAGTATGCTAGATAAACACATGCAGTCAACATACTAAAAGTATCAGTATGTAGTAGTTATTAGCACACTTTCCGAGGTGTATTGGTGAATATCAGGACAGTTTTGGTCGAGGGGCCCAGCCGAGGCGGAGCCGAGGCGGCTCCCGACCAAAACTGCCCTGATATTCACCGATACACCGAGGAAAGGTGCTAATAAGTTACTTACATCACATTTCTATCGAGTATTGTGAAGCAAAATGTGAAAAATAGTATTTATTATCGAGTCGTTTCAACCGAAAAGTGACAAATACTTTCTGCTCTTTCATTATTTATCCCTTTCTGAGCCTCACGTTACATTTCATGGTAGAATGATTTCGCAGTGGAGAGACGACCTGAGTAGTATTTACACGTGCGTCTTGCTATGATACTCTGAGCGTAAAACAATCACGCGTTTGTTTAGACCACATCGTCAAAACAACTTGTCTATGGCGTAGAGGACTGCGATATTATTAAATGTAGTGTAAAGGAAATGCGAAACGTGGATCATTCCTGGTGAAAGTATGCATCGGCGGATGGTTCTTCCGTTGAAATTTATTTGTAATAAAGTTTATGACTTTCTCGGCGTTTTTTTTCATCCTGCTTAATTTCAATGCCTGTGAAGTGTCCAGCAAGAGAACTGCGCCTTCTATCATCCCAATTAATTAAAATAATTATTCAATATTCTAATTTATATATTATTCATATTACTATAAATCAAACCAAATTATGAAATAGATGCCAGTTGATATGTATAATAATTGATTTTTGTAATATGTTTTTATGTTAATTTAATGTCATTGTATATGTTTTTGAACTGCCATGTAGTTCCCCCCATTGTGTTTTGTTACTATGATTTTGACTAGTTGTTTCATGTACACTGTGAAGAGCCATCGTTATCAATTGCGATCTGGGTCGTACTAAACGTCCGCTACTTATTACTTTTATGCATGTATTGCAAATAAACAGGACAGTTTTATCAAAGGTTGCAAGTGGCAACGAGTAGAAGTGGGATGTAAGCTAGATAAACACATGCAGTCAACATACTAAAAGTGTCAGTATGCTATATAAACACCCAAATACACATATTTTATATTGTAGTTAGTAAGTAAATTCGGTGTTCTTAGTCCTTATTTCTTAATTCATAGTCCGTAATTCTTATTTCTTCATTTGTTGTCGTATTGCGATATTTGTATACTAAAATTAACATTTGTATCTTAAAATCAATATTTGTTTTACCAATAAGACATTTGTCATATCAGATTTGTAAAACGTATTTTAATTGTATTTCAATATAAAGATAAAATTTACTTTAGAAAATCAAGAATTAGCCTACATTTACATTTCATCTGAGAAATACAACGAAAAAAAATCTTGAACAACAAATTTCTAAATACAAATCTTGCAAAACATTTCTCCAAAAACATTTCTTCAATAACATTTCTTCAAAAACATTTCTTGAAATCCATCGGACCGGAATATTATGACGACATGAGCGGAAATCAACCGTGCATACAATAAGTCACCATACAACAAAGAAGAATCGAGCAAACATATATACAGGTATTTGTAAAAACAACAAAGTGATTCAACTATGTTTTTTTAAATGTGGTATAAGATGTAGTCAACCGATTAACCGCCCTGCTTGAAAACTGCTCAGTTTCATAGTTAATATGACTATCGTTCAGGTACATTCCATATAGCTTTGAAGGATTATTGCTATATACATGCACATTGGTTCTTATTCTCCGACATGTGTGCTACCATGATGGTCGAAACAAAGAACGCATTAATCACACCATATTTAATTCAGTGATGGAGTTCACTGATAAGCTGATACCGTTGACTTATGAACATAGACCTTTTAGTAATGGTCATTTTTGTCATTAAAACATACAAATGATCATTTTATAAAGTAATGTTTAGAAAATTGGTTGGTTAGAAAATATGCTGTAGTCATTAATTAGCAGGTATGTAATTAGCTGTAATTGTTTGGGTTTTTTGGGGGTGTTTTTGGGGTTTTTTTAAGCCATATTTTATTCAGATTTGTGTGTGGATAGGGATTATGTGAGACGGGTACATTGAACAGTTAGCGTGGAGAACATTACTATTATCAATACTATGATTGTTAGTTAATACACTTAAACCCAAAGGCATATCTTGTTAACACGTAACCAACATTCTTTATCCAATACCAAAATGCAACCATAAACCGACGCAGGGACTGGATGAGAGATTGTAAAGTTGTGAAAAAGTAAAACTTCATATAGATTTTTTTTAAAATTAATCAATTTTCAGTTAAAATTTACTTTGTATTACGTGTCTATATTGCAGTTTCAAGCGAGCTTAGACTGTCGGGATTTCCTGATATCGCTACTCATGGCGCTACATATCGTTTACAGTGTTCAAGAAACACATTTTGGGGATTGTGGTTAAGAAAAGCCAAATTTTATAAAAATGGTAATCATGTAGCAACGGTCGAACGAAAAGCTTTTTATAAACAATACAGGTGTCTTCATAATGGAGGTAAAGAATATGATTGCGAATCATCCCCGGCAACAAAATCTCTAATAATCAACAACATTAACAGCACCATAGACAACAATACTCGCTGGACTTGTAAAGGTGCAGGGACAGAGAGTAACACCTACACTATTGTTGTCAAAACAGGTTGGTCTTACATGGATTAAAATGTTTTTAAATCAATAAATTAATTCCAATCCTATGTAGTAAACGGATGAGTGTCCATATATTAGCAATTTGAAAGACATATGTGATTGAGGTAACTACTAAATTCAACGTTTTGAATTTAAAAGAGACGGTCATGTTGTAAGTATCAGCGACAGCCATCCCTTTGCCAAATTGTCTCACAACGTGATTTAATTTATCACAAGTTTTTTAGTCAGTTATATAGCAATCAGTGATCGAGATAATCACCAATGTCTCAATTCAGCATGACATAATAACCAGAAAATGACTTGTGGCAGCCATCTCAGATATTTAGATTTCGCCAAGGTGGCATCATCCAGATTATGAATATCCACACAATGAAGATTGATTGGCCACACAAAACGAGTACACCATTTAAAGTGGAATAATTCAAACAGTATGTGTGAAACAACATGGATGGTTGGCAACTTCACAACAAATCGCCCAAATAGTGATCACACGAGTACGGGTTTCAAAAAGGTCACATCATAATCCCCTCAGTCTAAATATGTGTCCTCTGTTTTGCTTGTAGACATAAGCGCATTTCCAAACAGAAATTGAATTTCTTTTGTCCTGCCCGTATTGCTCGAAATGTATTCTTCACTTAATTATCCGTAAATGGTTTCATGTGTCCCGTATAAAGCATTTCCGACAGACTGTTCCAAATAGGGTAACCCATCGAATTCGCGCGCGGAGACGGCGGCAAGCATTGATCTGCTTGTGTTGCCGCCCTGGTTTCTTTTGTCAGATATATAAAACGTCTAGAAGTCGTTCGTTACCAATAAAATATAATGCACAGTGTACATTCTTTATCTTATCACGTACGCTGTTCATGTGCATTTGAAATTTAAAACATCCAGATTTCAACCATAACTCACCATTGAAATACATAATAGCGGAAAGTAAACTTTTTTTTTCAAATAAAATATAATAAATTATCGTATATTCACTGTTCATATTGTTTCTTTTCAAGCTTCAGTAACGTGTTATCTGATAACAACCATCACACATGCCATGAAAAACACGGGTAACGATGATGATGGTTATGAAAACGCAGATGCCTCTATTGCTGCTGCTTCTGGCGACGATAATGGTGATGTTTCTAATAAACTGGTGTTGACTGAAGGAGATGACCTTAACTTCAATTGTTCTAGTGACCCGACTACTAACATATCTTACAAATGGGAAATGTTTGGAGACTATAGTCAAACCACTGTGATTGGTAATCAGTCGATTTACTTTAAGCCAAACATAACCAGAAGAGATGCTGGTATGTATGTGTGTATCGGAACCAGAGCACCGGATTGTGAAAAGAATGATGTTGTCTACATTCGAGTACAATGTAAGTAGACTGTACTACGATGCACAGCATCCTTACGCGTAAAAAAAACCCGTGGTACTGCTTGTAATATATTAGACAGTGGTTGGTGTTTCCAACAGTTGTAAAGTTGTAGTAGGAGGAACATATGGTGGCGGTGTGTGTGGGGGGGGTATCCTTTTAATAATAAGGTATACAGTGGCCAATATATCGCGATAGGGCACTGCGACATTAATAGCTGCAGAAGAGAAAAGATTTACAAAATACTTTCTATGTTCATTATTTTTTAACCCTTGCTTACAAAATTACTCCAACAGGACTGAGTATTTTTCAGATATAGACATTGGCAGAAATCATATAACTCGAGTATATCCTTGATTTAAGTCATTATGGGTTATACTTTGAACACTACTTTGCATTTTCTAGATTCACCTTTATAGATGTCAATATCACTTTGTATTTCTGGATTCACCTTTTATAAATATCAATATCAATTTGTATTTCTACATTCACCTGTTATAAATATCAATATCACTCTGTATTTCTAGATTCACCTGTTATGAATGTCAGTATCATTTTCCATTTTTCAGATCCTCTTAGTTTAAATATAACTGTAAATGATACATCAGAAGCCATTGAACTGATTTGCCGAGTGGTGGGCGGCTATCCTACTAATTTTACCATGAATAACTGGACACATTACATTGATGGTCAGTTTGTGAGAGAAATAGAAGGGGTAACAGCAGAAGATAGAACAACTTTAATTTTAAATAAAACCATATTAAATCAAGGAACTTATGCATGTAATGCTAGTAATGGTATTGAAGATTTTAAAGGGACTGTTCACCAAACAGATGGAACACACATCAACATAGAAGGTATGTTTTATTTGATATCGAGTTTCGTGCCTTAAGGAAATCCTGTTAAGGATTGAGAAAATTTTAAACTAATTTGAAACTTGATTTCTACAGAAGTAAAATGGCAGTGCCGGATAATTGATACGATATCTTCGCGAAAAAATAATCTGTTTTGATTTTCAGCACCACCGATGATACTAGAAATTTCCAATGCTTCTGAAGCACGGGTTGGATCAGATGTTGAAATTAATACGGCGTTTATAATTGGTGGAGATGCTCCTAACATCACATGGTATCAACAGCAACAAAATAGTTCTACTATAGCTGAAATATCAGTTGATACAAAATCTGAACATGTCATCAGACCAGTAAATATATATGGTACTTTAATAAATAAGAACGTTACAATTGTATCAGGCAATGTAACAATTAGTGAGATGATGGATCTAAATGTTACTGTAACTGTATGTAATCAGTATGGTTGTACAGATTCTTACCAACACATAACAGTCTTACCAGAAACAACAGTAACGCCCGTTCCTAGGAAAGGTATTGCTGCTGTTAACACATTTTTAATGATAGCATATTTACTATCAATATATCCAAGATAAGAATGTCTGATAAATAGGAAAATGCTATATCGATGATGCACCGTTTCATTGTAAGAATGTCTCATAAATAGGCAAATTCTATATCAATGGTGCACTATTTCATTGTAGTTGTGTAACTGTAAAAATGTCTGGTAAATAGGAAATTTCTGATTCATTGTAGTTGTGTAACTGTAAGTTTCGCTACCGACACAAATATGAACTATAGTTATCATTAAATTTATTCTTTCTGCAACCATATCTGTTACACTGGTAAGATTCGTCTGATCGTTTGCAGTACATGAGACATTTATGTTATTACAGTGTCACTAACTATAACTACAATACTATTATTGCCCTCACAATAAGTATGTTTATTCCACTGTTGTAAAACGCCGTAGTGTCATAAACTAATAAGCATGGTGATTGTATTTATACAAGGTATTCTATTAATAAATAGAGAATCGTTTTTTTTTACTTTACTTTATCTTTATCAAAAAAGACGAGTAGGAGCTTTTATTTATCTCCCAATCCCTTCTTACATGCACAAATAAATAAATTTTATTCTTTGCTATAGATTTCACTTTCACTGAACCTGATTACATTACGGCGCAGTGATACATCATTTTTTGACAGCAATTGAACCATTGTAAAGTCCTTTATATTGACCAAGTGTTTCCATCAAGACCAATTAAATAAAAATAGTCCCTTTTTAATAAGAAAGAAGTTACTTTTAATAAAAAAAAAAATGAACTGTTCTTTGAAAATAAAAAAAAAAATGAACTGTTCTTTGAAAATAAAAAAGTAGTTCCTTTTTGATTGACCAATCAAATTCGTGTAAAACGATATCGCAGTAGATTCTGAAATTTATCACACAAAAGCGATAACTACTGTAGAATGTATTATTAGGTGATAATAAACAATAATTGATGACCATTCAGAAAGGTAACAAGACATGTTCCAATATTTCGTATTTGAAATAAAGATAACTAAGAGATTGTAAATTCACATGTTACAGCGAATGACGAGTTGCCAGTCAACGTTTCCATGATAGCAGGAGGAGTAGTTGGTGCTGTTGTTCTGATGGGTTTAATTATTTTGATAATAGTCTTGGTTAGAAGACGATCCAGCAATAAACGCGGTAAGTTTAGATCTATTGTATTATCCATCTACTACAGCAAATCCTTTTTTGATGTTGAAATTTAGAAAGATAGGGTTCTGTGCTTTTTTAATTTTTGCAGATCCTCCAAAGTTACGGTGAGTTTTGAGAATTTTCACACAGATATATTACCTTATATTATACACCATGACCAAAACAATAAACCTGGGCCCTGTTTCACAAAAACTTCAACTAAAATCACCAAAATAGATTTTAACTAAAATCAAAATGAAATTTTAAATTTTATGCGTTTCACGAAGATCGATTGTAACTTAAAATGCAATTTTAATAGATTTAAGTTAAAATTGCTTGCGCCCGCGCAGTGCACAATGCCGGCGAGGTCACTTAGGGTGTAAGCATAAACGCTTTAGAACTGAAAACTGTTGCCAGATTGAACTATCCGTTACAATATCAATGAGGAGAGTTTCATACATTGTAACAATGTCTGCACATTGTCAGATAGTAGTAGAAACATGAAATAAATAAGTTTATTGCGTATTATTCGTTTTGAAATGTATCAGTTGGTTGGCGTTGAACTTGCATGTCGCTTTCGTGACCTTGGCATTTGATTTACTCGCAGGCATTAATGGAAATAATGCGTATCGATAAACTAAATCGATTGAATTTCGTAGTTTTATGGTATTTTGGATAACAGAAACTACTGAGAATTGTCACCAATATGTGATATTTCTCACTCAAACGATTAATAAAGACTTAAGTATTGTCAGATTTTAAAAGTATTTAACAACTTTTAAACTAATATACGAAATAGCCAATGTTCCGAAGTCTAGATTTGAAATGTCAGTCCCGGTACACTTTCAATGGTACTTTTAAAATGCCAAAGTGCCACACTCTGTTTTGGAAAATGCCTATCTACCTTACTATATAAAATACCCTTGGAATTGGATCCTATATGAATCATCATAACCCCAAAACCATAAATACTTTGCATATGGCGTTTTTAGTATCAAAGGACTGGTGGGGATTCGATTCCCCGGTTGTACGTGACAGGTAGTAGGATCGCCCGTCCAACCCCGAGGGATTCCTCCCACTACTAAAGACCCCTACGTGCAAGCGAATTATTCAAATAAAATTGAACCATGTGTTAGACCCCGAAATTACCTAGTTTGTGTCTAGTGGAGTGGACGTTAAACCCCATATCTCTCTCTCTCTCTCTCTCTCTCTCTCTCATTTTAAACATTTGTAGGCCTACAAAAATACTTTTTTATAGATATTAGATATGATGTGAATGTCGTGAAGTTAGGACAGGGTAACGGTTGTCTTAAGTTAAAATTGATTTCTGTTAAAATTTTCCCGAAAATAGTTTTGTGAAACGCCACTATTTTAAGTTAAGATACAATTTTAACCTTAAATATTATTTTAGTGGATTTTATCTTAAATGCTTAAAATCGTTTTGTGACACGCATCTATCTTAAGTTAGGATTTTAAGGAGATTTAAGTTTTTGTTAAACAGGGCCCTTGATCCAATCTCGCTTGATCAATTTTAATACAGCACCAGAACAATAATACGTCCCTCGTGTTGTTTCAATATATTACATAATTATAATGCCTCGCTCTCGACCATTATACCACACTTCATGCATGAGGCAGGTGCACATTCTTTCTAGAACACCTAATACCATTTCTGATTTCAGGAGTTAACATTCCTAATAAAATAGTGGTGCTTTTCTTTTCTGTTGTCTATATTTGTGTAACTGATATCGAAAACTAATGAACTGCCAATAAGAGATACATTATTATTGATGTGACAGCAGTCACTGCAGTTGTCCAGCAAATTTAAAACATATTATAGATTAGTATTCCATCAATTGTTGATTTTTAATTTCAAAATGTCATCTTTCTTACAGAAATTGCTGGAACTGCCAGGTCAGTTTGTATAAGTCATTTGTTTATTCACTTTTATATAACATACGCCGCCGCGGTGGCTCAGTGATTAATACTTTGGTTCGTTAACCGGCAGGTCCCGTGAACACATTCCTTTTCAGTTGGAATTCCAAAAATGAGTAGGCCGCTGACTGATCACAATTTCCATCATAAAACAATGTATGGCGTATACCAGTTGAACTGTAGATAATCTCTAAAGAGCTCGGTTCCTCTTGGTATTGACATTTATTGGATGGTAACTTCATGGGTCATGACCGCTTAGTATGCAAAATCACCTTTTTAGCTTGTGGTCCTCATGGGTGTCATTATTTTTATCAATTTAAAAAAACGTTCAAGATATCACTGTTACACCCTCATGGCGATGGAGTTTGCATTTCGTGAAATCGAACCGACACTGCCGGTCCCGTGACACAAACAGTGTTAAAGTATGTAATATAAAGGTTGTGGACCCTCTAGAGGTCACAATTTTGATACGACTTTAACGAAACGAAAGATATATATGTTTATATCTAACAAGTCTCAATTGTCCGAAAATCGCGTTTTGAGTTTGTATAGTTCCTCTGGAGGTCACAATTTTTATATATCACGGTTAAATCCTAATGACGGTTAAGTTTGAATATTCGTGACATTCGTGCTGAAACTGCCCGAAACAAATAATGTAAATGTTTGTGATACCAAGATTGTGGAACACAATCGTTATCTGATTTTGATGAAACGTAATCAAATACATTGCTATATCTTTTATTGTGGATAAAATCATCCAAACAGCTTCCGGTACAGGAATCCTACGTATGACACACGTCCAGAACAGCGTAAGTTTATTATATCAGTTTACTTATATCATGAAACACAGGGAGGGGCCTTTTTATCGTTTTTAGTCAATACTTCTTTTTGTTAATAATTCGAGGCATTTGGGGTAAAATAATCGATCAATGTTGGGAAAATGTCACATAATCCATCTAGTCTATAGTTTATTGGTTTATATTTATTTAATTTGGAGAATTTTAATATAATTGTTGACTTATTTGTTACAGCAACAAATGACCAGATTTTATATGGTAATGATAACTTGGTGAAAAATCAGCAACAGATTAGAGACAATCAGACTATGGGTAAAACAACACTTTTATACGTTATATCCTAAGGGAGATAATCGACTTATGATCTTAGAAAAACTTTAGCCGTTGGATTCGGCGTTATATATATTGTATATTATAATTGCATATCCACAAAGAGCCTATAATGTGACAGTTCTCTGATGAAGATATTCTTACAAGGGATTGCCCACCGCCATCTGTTAGTATGCAAATTGACCAGCGCACTCCCCATATACCAATCTTGAAGACACGTATTGAATACGCATCAGATTTATCCAGATTCTCGCTTACAGGTGGCATATTTTACATCGGTGTAATTCCTGACTTCCACACCTGGAAGAAAATTCGAATTGAAATCATTTCATTGATCAAATCCGATTCGTATTAGGAATCATTGGCCACACAAAATATAGTGTTAAAGTGCGAGAGAGAGAGAGAGAGAGAGAGAGAGAAAGAGAAAGAGAGAGAGAGAGAGAGAGAGAGAGAGAGAGAGAGAGACGTACAACCGGAGAATTGAAACCACGCCAGTTGACTCAATGACAGCACGTATGATACAGCACGCACAGACTAACCATTCGCCCCCACCACCAGCACCTATTCATTTAAGATTATAAACAGAATAATTTATGAGAAATAATGGAAAATATATTTTGTTATTTATCAGAAATAATGGAGAATGATCTGTATATTAGTGCTGATGATGATCCTACACCAGATAAAGTTGATCACAGAGATAATAATCAAATGGGTAACATAAGTGATTTCTATACTGTAAATCGCATTCTAATCAGTTGTGAAAATATGTTCTTAACCCTTAAGAACCTTGTCATCGTCCTAATACCCAACCGATTGGAACCTTTACAATCATTGTATCATTTAGCAAATATTACCCTGAAGATATTGAAGTTTCGGTTTGGGTAATCAAATGGGTAACAAAATTTAAATTAAATCGGGTTTAACATTCTACGTTTATGATTTTTATACTGTAAATACCACCTGATAACACTGCCCATTCTGCTGCAGCTGGACTGTTAACCGATTTCGTTTTCATTTTGAAATCTGCAATACAAATCAGACATAGCTTCTCAGGGGGATTATATAGAACTAGGATCATGTACTGTTATAAATACACATTCAGAATATATTTGGACCTGGAAATGGCCACCCAGCGTTGGTCGTCTTATCTCTCTTGTCATTGTCCTTCGGGGAGAAGCTCTTCGAAAAAACCCATCAATTTAAGTACGGTCGACATTTCATTGTGCATTGATTGCCGGATATCAATATTGTGTATGATTTGGTTATATACTGTATCAAATGCAGTTTTGGTATGATTTGATATTGTTATAGTGTTATATACTGTATCATATGCAGTTTTAAGACTATTAATTACATGTTTATCTGTTTATTGACTAGAAATAATAGAGAACGACCTATATATCAGCGCTGAAGATGAAACGAATCCACGTGGAACAGGACTACAGGATGATGAAATGGGTAAATTTGTTTAACTTTGTATTTTTTATGATTTTAATTCCGTATGATCAATATCCAATTAATTAAATTGAACAAATGTAATTTAGAAGATTAAGGAAAAACAATCTAGGGGAATATGACATCTATATTCATGGATTCTCGTCATATAATTTAAGAAATTGTGTTCAACGTCCACCCAACCGCGGTCGGTTCGGGACTAACATAGGGCCTATTAATTAAGTTAGGTCAGATTATTTAGCAGTGGAAGGAACCCAGAGAACCCATAGAGGTTAGACAGGCGACGGTACCCTTGTCAGGTACCTAGGTCCTCATAATCTCGGATTCCGGTAATTTTCTCCCACACCTCCCCATGTTTCTCACTGAACATAGACCATTTAGTTTTAGACTCCCTTGTTTTTCATACATTTTACCGATATGGTTACTTATATAGGTAATTTTTACTTCAATATGCTTACATTCATATTTCATGTAACATATAGCAAATCATGACTCATACTGACATTACACAATGGTTTCTCTGGGGTATATTTCTTGTTGTTTTCAAATTTGAGTGAAGTCTGTATCACTACAGGCCCGGGACTGTACAGGCGCAGTCGACGCTTACGGCCAGTCAAGAATTCATTCATTTAATTTTATATGTACATTTGTTTGTGATTTCTGCGTATTGTATCTTATCCGTAGATTTGTTTTGTGTAAATTATGCGCGGTGCAGTCCCCTGCTCTTTCTAATAGTCTTAGAATCCGACGTTTCCCCATCATATTCCAACATCTCGCCATCATACTACCACCAACATTTTTTTGACAATTTTATCCCACGTCCACCGTGAGATATTTCAGACTCCGTCAATTCCTCCTCCACCATTTAGGCTTCTGCTTTGTAAATTAAGCCCAGGATATATGTTACATAACATTTAACTAAACGTAACGACAAAAATCACGGACGACGTAAGGCATGTTGATTTTTGGAACGCCCAACGATACCTAGGAATTGTAGGTCGTCCACCAACCTTTAGTGGACCTTTTTTATTTTATTTTAACAGAAATACTGGAGAATGATCTTTACATCAGTGCTGATGATGACACAAAAACCGATGGAATAGAAACAAAACCAGCAATGGGTAAGAACTGTAATTCTCTTGTTGAGATTTATCAAAATCCCTCGAGTGTCTGATTGGTTGCTGTTTGTTTGCGTGTGATTCTCCTGCAATTTGCTTTTAATGTCCCATTCCATAACTCTACCATATTTTAAAAGAGTAACATTTGGTTTAATCACTTAGCAATAATTTGGGTTATTCCGATTGTCCTGGCTGACATTGTTAAACTTAAGTTCGCATAAATAAATTTTCAGTTTTGTTGTTGTTTTTGGAAATACCTGAGAACAATCTTATTTTTGGTCTCTTTTTGTAGTATTCTCTGGATATTACATATTTACGTATGGTTGTTTTGTAGTATTCTCTGGATATTACATATTTACGTATGGTTGTTTTGTAGTATTCTCTGGATATTACATATTTACGTATGGTTGTTTTGTAGTATTCTCTGGATATTACATATTTACGTATGGTTGTTTTGTAGTATTCTCTGGATATTACATATTTACGTATGGTTGTTTTGTAGTATTCTCTGGATATTACATATTTACGTATGGTTGTTTTGTAGTATTCTCTGGATATTACATATTTACGTATGGTTGTTTTGGTCACATTCTTTCGATATTACATAATATTTATGTATTGTTTTTGTTTTAGAAATACTTGAGAATGATCTGTATATACCTGCTGAAATAGACACTCGTATATTTTAAGGTGAGAATTAATCTTTTATTTATATAACGTGCTGATTAATTTATTCAAATTAACTAATATTAAACGAATAAACGCCAAGACTTAACACCATGATAAAAGTAAAATATCTGGATGAAGAAGCTCTGATAGAGTTGAAGCAAGTTGAGTCTCTATCATGTGATACAGTCGCTGCATTAAAACATTATGATAAACAATCGTGTCCTACTGGATAAATCCAAGATAAGAGTACCAAAATGTGGTCCGGAGATGTAAATAATTGACCTCTTGACCTCTATATATCCTATAATCTATTGCCTAAAAGTAAAGATAGTTGACCTCTATATATCCTATAATTAGAAAGTTGACCTGTATAATATATCTTATAATCTATTGCAGATAATAAACAGAATCCTACTGAATAAACCCGAGATAGAACGTTAATATGAGACCATTACCAAATCTGATCAACTCAGTTTAATTTATTTATGTTAATTTCGAATTGTTCAGCCCAACTTTTAAAAACATTAAAGTCGGTTCGGGGGGAAATAGTCAAATAGAAAATTTACAGCTGAATCTAATATTTGCTAAAAGCGTCTTAGATTTTTGTTTGTTCATAGAAGTTTTAATGGGCATTACATGCCAATTTATGTAAGATATGTAAATATTTTAAATTGCATTATACTCTTGACATTTAGCTTTAATTTTATCACGTAACACTGGAGACCATATTGACATCTGACTTTTCTGCGCCAATCGAGGTTATCGAGACAGTCACACATTGCATGCAGTGTGGTGTGATGGGAAATTTGCCCACACACCAGCGTGTCCACTCAATTTATCGCAGTTCAACTCCAGGGTTCAGGCACGTGCACACCAAAGAGTAAGCGGGTTGATCTCGGTTCTATCACTATCCTCAGTGATTTATCCCCAAGCATGCAGTTTTCGCGTTATGAGTTTTGGGGGCAAAACAGTGGACATGATCTTCACAGTCAATATCAAAGATATCATACAACCAACACTTCCCAATACTTATCATCCCCAATACTCATCATTCCCAACACTCATTAAGCCGATTATCTGGACTGATCGCCAGTATACGAAGAAAAACTAAAACAGTAATGTATATAAGGCTTTTATTAAATTTAATTACACATTAGCTTCGGAAAAAACTGCTGAGGTCATGGCCGGCGGGACTAACATCAATCAAAGTTGTCAAAGGCACGCTTAAGATTAAAATAATCGGTATCACGATTAAAAGTGTTTTCTATAGTGTGGGCATCGGGTACACTCTCGGCTAGCCTATGTGCCACTCTCATCCTATTCCTGCACTTCCTTCAGTAAACCAATCACAATGGTCCATAATTTTCCTCGAGTCATCGTCTGGATCCGATAGAGCCAGAGTCAAGGCGCACCCACTTCTGAAACTATGTGGGGTTTCACTTTGATAGATACCCAAAGTGGACAAATACAAACGAAGCCGCTCATAAACGACAGAATACGTAACAGGATTATCAAGGACGGTACCAGAATCTGACACTATCCGAAACAGATAACCATTCGATAAATTGACACCCATAAGCCTACAGCTACTCAAATACAATTCAATCGCATAGACAGGACAAATAAGCTTATCCTCACAACGCTTAATAACAAAATAAAACAAGCTATTTAAAACACAGTCTGTAAGCAGACAGTGGCCACATTAGTCCACGGGCATCCCTACGGAATCCCTTCTTAGACGGTACCTGCAGGATACCACACTCTCCAACGAAGCCCAAAAGTAAACTCGAAAACGCATGAGTATGTAATAATGGGGCCCAAACGGGAACTGGGTAGAAGATTGGGACCCAAAGACACAAAACCGGAAAAATAAGGGAGAAGGGAGGGAAAACATACGGGTTGATTTCTTCGCGAATTCGCTGAGCAAATACATTGACCCCAGAACTTTCGGTAGTGGGGTGAGGCGTGAAGTGTCTCCTCGTCATAGAATTAGAATCCAACGCCATGAGATCAACAGAATGCGGGCCAAACGCTGATTCGACAAGAGCCCATGCATTCCCAGATAATTTCGTATCCGAATAGTCTAATTTCCGGGAAAGAGAATCGGCCTGATTCTGTTTTGACGGTATATAATTCATTCTCAAATCAATATTCAGCCCCATGACCATTCGAAAGATTTCTTTCGTTATCTCATTCAAAGCCCTATCCCGAACACCTTGATTGTCCCAAGCATGAACTTCCGACATATTATCCGTGTAAACATCCACACGGTTATCCCTGAGTTCAGAAGTCAAGGAACGAAAAGATACCAGGACCGACGCAGCCTCCTTCAAGTGTATGGGTCGTGCATCATCCGCCTGAAAATAGTCGCCTAATTCAACAATATTGCAACCCAATAAATCATTTCTAAAAATAGCACCATGTCTGAAACTTGAGGCATCCGTTAACATAACCACTTGACGATGGGACTCTGGGCGCCATTTGGAATGTCCCTCCCAATTATCCAAAAACCTCCAATGCTGCAGCTCAGCCCGCAATTCGCTTCCAACAGTTACAATTGAACTGTTCTTTTGGCAAAAGGATATCCCAAAGTTTATCTCCCTGCAAAATAACTTACACCCGGGAATGGCCAAGGACATGGAAATACATTTCCCACTGATTCTTTGTAACGTTTTTACTCCAACACCCTCGACGGACAAAATAAACTCTCTGGGCTCAATAAACGAATTTCTTTTTTCCGGTGGCAAAATATAAGCTTCTTTCACCGAATCCACAAAGAATCCTAAGAATTTAATACATTTAACAGGTGTGAAAATGCACTTCCTAGCCGACAATGTATAACCCAACCTTGTCATTAACTCAACCATTGAGTAAGCTACCACCCTTGCCTGTGATTCCTGGCTACCGACTAAAGACCCCCTCCCGAGGCGCCTAACCGATCATCAATAGCCGAAAGGCAAAGTAGTGTACGACATAATCCACCCTCCGAATTGTATCCCGAAATACGTCTGAGATGACTCAGACAACCGGACATGATCATAACCCGACTTTTTCATCAAAGGATACCATAAAAGCCTCACTGTCGATTAAACGATGCACATCTCTCAGAGTGTCTAAATGGAAAGGTGAATCCTTGATCCACAGATTCATATACCGTTCGTCGTGGCAAAGACGAGGCTTCGAAGTTTCTACCGTCAAAGGTATAATAATTTTGGGTAGGGGACATGAACCCACTCTACCCCAGACACGGATACAACCGCTACGAATCCTTTCCTTTAATTCATCACGAATAAAAATGCCGAAGTCTTTACAAACGGAAGAATTCTCAAAGATTCGACTCGGTGGGGTATCAGAATCATAGGGTCTGCCCTTAAAATTACCCTTAAAATGTCTAAAGAAATTAAAAATATTCACTCCGTCCGCCAGCCAAGACCTTACGTCACTCGCAGTTTCAGGGGGAACCTTGTCTAACAAAGGCTTCCAGTGGCTTAAATTATTGTGCAAGTTCCCAGCTAAAAAATAATCTGGATTCAAAATTGGAAGGGAGTCCATCTCAAAAGCTACGTTGTTTTCTAAAAGCTGCTCCGCCTCTGGGTATTTTTTTTTTATCAAACTGCGGGTTAAAGGAGAGAGTTCCTCGGATTTGTCCCCGGAAACCGTAATCCACCTATGATGGTTTCGTTTCTCAACTTTTGATGGGTCAAAACCAATATACTTCATGGGGGAATGGCGAAATCACAACCGACATCCTGAAGAAGAAATTGACGTACAAAAATACAGACTGAAAATACCGAGGAACCCACACCCCTAGCCCGCGTGGAAAAACCACTGGGGAATCAGTGTCTCCTGGGTAGAGAGTGTGGTTGCCTTAATACACCAAAAAAAAACAACAAAGAAATGATGCGAATACACAGTTCTACCTAAATTTTAGTTTTTGCCTTTTTCATTAATTGACAGTCTTTGATGAGATGGTTTACAGAGTCGCAAAAATGACACTGCATGCGATTTTGAGGGCGACTAGCCCTTCCAAAAAACATCGGTCTAGGTTGATAACCTGGAAAACCGAATCCTTGAAAAGGAGGAAAAAACATGGAGGGAGGTGGATATAAATTAGACATAGGGGATTGTGGCCTGGATTCGACCTCTTTCCGTTCACCATCAGTAGATTTAGTTAGATCAGTTGACTTTTCCTTCATGCACTTCGCCAAAGCTTTTGAAACTTTATCGCCAGCAGCTCCTCCCAAAACCGAAAGACACAAAGTTGACAAGTTGATTTTCCCCTGATGTCTGGATGCCTGCCTGGCAAGCTCCTCCAAAATATCCCGATCTTCATGTCCGTAAGATCTCGCAAGACTTGCGAGCTCATCAAGGGTGAGTAGAATTAGAGATTCAGAGGGGTCATTTTGGGTGGCTAAGAACCTTACTTTAGTCTTGCGACTTTTCCATCTCATCACACCTCCTCTTGGACTCGACATGCTCATCTTGGTCCTCTAAGGTCCGTTTACCATAACCACTAGTACTGTCCTGGAAAAAGAAAACAAAAACAAAAAGGAAAGAAAAATAACAAGGAGGCACAAAACAAAGAGGCACGAGATCCCATAACAGTAGAAAACCCACCTGGGGTTCGCTCAAAATCTGTCCTTTTGGTTGACCAACCTCGTTGCCGTATATAATTGTGTGATGCAGAGCCAGTCTAGCTGAAGCCTCATCTAACCCCTTTCCTGCCATTCCAAGAATGTCATCTATCTTTTCGCCAGTCACCATCCTAAAGCCTGTCTGTATCTCCTAAAATTAAAGGAAGGAGTTTGTGAAGACTGGAAAATGCCACATGAAGAAATATTCTAAGTAAAACTAAGTCTTGGGGCTAAAAACCAATACAAAAGGAGATCTAACCTGAAAACCGACATTTTCTGTTCTTTCACCCAACTGAAGTCTGGCTAACTCGCCTACATCTGTTGCTCCTTCTCTTATTCGCCTCACCAAGGGAATAGGGTTAATTCCCTTCAAGGAATGTCTTTTCTTCAAAACTGTGACTACCATGATAACTAAAGGAAAACCAGAACAACGTTCTAAACATTGATGGCCAAATATTCAATAATAGAACCGGTAATACAAATCACGAAGACAATAACAACACAAGCGAGAAAATCTCATCGAGATGGACCTTTAAAATCACAAATTACACGACCAGAGGCGGACGCAAGATAATCGGTTAGGGGGCGCGCGGTGTCGAAAGGGATTCTTGGCGCATATGTGGACCAAAATATAACAAGTAACTCCGTCCGCGACATCTTTACAAACCAATAAAACTTCAGAAATTGCACATTTTAAAGGAACAGAGAAATAACAGAATAATCGATTATTATGGGGGCACAGTAGCCTAGAGCCGTCCACCTGGGTCCGCCACTGCCCACGATCTTCAACCCTGTATAGCTGACCTACTCACAAAGATCGTGCAGAGTCAACAAAACCATCAGAGGTTACTTCATACATCCGTATAGAACTTGGAACAGACGGGACAATAAGAGTTAAAAAATGGTCCACGAAAAACAAAACAACAAAACAACAACCACTGCCGGACAAATATGAAGAAAACATTCTATTTGAAAAACTGAAAAAATGGCGCCTATCACGCACGTGATTCTATCAAAGTCATAGTTTTTGGCTCTCCTAGCCAAGTTCATAGCCTCCGGCTCTCAAAGCCCAAGAAAACAAGGCTTCCCACAGCCATCTAAACTATAAAAAAGGCTCTCTCGGTCTAGCTTCCAACAGCTTTTTAACTTTAAAGAAAAAACAAACAAAAACATACCAGAATGCAGCCGAATCAAAAGCGTTTGTCGTCGACACAATTCAAGTCAAGAGTGAATAGATGCTCAACTCACGCATGCGCATAAAACCACTGAGACTATATGTCCCCTCCTAACGAATTGCCATCCACCCTGCACAAGTGACGAGGAGTAACTATAGCTATGAAAATCTTCAGGAGCGTTTTCGGTCGTCACTGTGATCAAACCCGAATTCTCCTGGTTATTGAGGCCTCGCCATACTCAGCGAGTCACGGTGGCTTCTCTTTAAATCGTTGATCTTAAATGTCCAAAACTCGGGAGATTGTGTTCTAACCAGAAACGTCGGCCTTTGAAATCCAAGTTGTAAATATTTAGCTGTTTTGAGCTTCGACTTAAAGATGGGTTCCCGCGTACAAACTGGGTGATTTAATGGTACATATGGACTAAAAACATATTCAAACTAATTAATTTGTCATAACTTTGCTTCAAATCCTTCTCAAACATTGTAATTGCGAAGGAATGTCCTGCTATAAAAATTCGATCAAACCAGGTCACGTTTACGTCACGTGACTTACCTCTCTTGGAAGTCAGAGGAGAATTCATTGCATACATAAGACGATGTTGTCTTTAATCGCTTACTATTTATTACAAATACCGAATCCTAATTAAATTCTCGGACTATCCACTACCCGCGTCTTTTTCCGTCATTTTTATCTCAGAAAGTGTTGTGCGTCTAACTCTTCGTAAAGTTTATCAACTTGTACATCAAGCGCTCAATGTTCGCGTGTGACCTTTGACATCACGCGTGCAGAAATTTTTAATCGTCGGGCTGTTGATTAGGGGAAACCTTACATTTTTGTCCTGTATACGCTCCATGAGCGTTTTTCGGGGAATCCAGTATTTTTTTAGTGAGATTGGATATCTTTACTTTCCATATATATCAAAATTACCATAATTTTATTGGATATAACCACCCGATAAATACTTTTCTGGGAACCCATCTTTTAGAATACTTTATACTACTTCTCACAAATCCAGAATAATTTTGGTTTACTTTCATTTATCTTACGTTATTTTTAAAACTTACAAATATTTTGAATTTTTTTAATACGTTTTTATGGTGATATCAATTTCTGTAAATAACTTTTTATATCAATTTTAATGTATTTTATATCAATTTTAATGTATTTTACATCAAATTTTTTATTGTATTTATATTCTAATATTTTGTTTCCAATATATCTTTAATATGATATTAAGACGTCCTGGTGCTAGTCGTCAGTGAATGAATGTGTTAATCATACATTAGATAGGTCACCTACGGTCTATTGTCGTCACTCTGAACTACCCGGTATAATGGACGCATCGGGACGTACTCTTTATTCTAATTCTAGCTGCCATGCATTCTTTTACATGTGCGCAGGGACCAGGGTACTTGATCACATCTGAACGACTAGGTGGTGTTCCGTGCCAGGCCCTATGTCCCGCGCAATTGACAAGGGGACTGCACGCCTAAATTTGTCAGCCAATACGAGCCTCGGAATTCTTGAACCAGCGTTTTATTCACTGGAACAATCTGGATTCAATGCCTTGCTAACTACAGTACTGGGGAAAGTTTGATCGCTAAAGGGAATATCAATCAAAACATTGTTCTGTTCAATTCAATATTTACAGAGATATAATGAATATAAACTTTGCCATCATGTGGGAATCCTAGGCGGACTGAATTTGTCAAAACATAATCTTCGCAAAAATCTGTTAATGGGACTATTTTTAAATGTGACTGAATCCAAGTCAGAATATTCTCTAATGTTGCTATTTTAAGTTTGTTTTCTTAATTAGATATGAAATAATCAACTACATTTTAGTATGGATTAAACATACATTATACAAGGGCTAAATCTGCCTATTGTAGGTCTTTCTTTAGAACTAAAAATTTTATCTAAATTATTAATTAGACATTAATTAACTTATCTAGACCATAATCAACTCTGATGCCATTGCTATCCTATGATATTTACTGGATAAGGATCCGATTTGCTGCTCAACTTTCATTCATGACTAAATCATGAAATGGATAATCGAGACTGTGTTTTTTTATCGAACCGACTTTTCTCGGTTCAGAGTGGATCAATTTGACTGAAATTTTCAGCATATTCCCTTTACATTACCTAGTTTTTAACTATTATAGTGAGAACTGCCAGCTCTTTATCTAATCTTGCATAATATATCTTTAAGCAAAATGACTATTAAAATATATACAGTACATAATTATTAAATCTCTTTCTATATATAGACTATTCAAATGTAAATTCACTGATTATATTTATTATTTAGTAGTCAATGTAATCAAGATAATATAATCAGCAAATCTAGCATTGATATATAATCATCTTGGATTCAATATGATTTAAATTAATTTATATATTTGTTAATTCACTGAGGTTAGATATTTATCTAAGACGAAATTATGCGTTATGTTATATTGTTATTAATTCAGTGAGGTTAATAGTGCATCTAAGATGAAATATGTTATATTGTTATTAATTGCTATGTTGTTATTAATTCAGTGAGGTTAGATGTGTATATAAGATAAAGTATGTTATATTGTCATTAATTGTTATTTTGTATTGTTATTAATTGCTATGTTGTATATTTATAGTAATGTTGTATTGTTATTGATGTTGTACAATATTTTTGCATGTTTTGGTGCGCTATCCAGTCTAGGGATCGTCTAGAGATATGTAGTCCCTATTCCTCGAGGTCATTTGATGTATATTTATTATTTAGAGTAATACTAGTGTTATAGTAAATATTTTGATATACATTTATATAATTACTTACCTAAATTGACTAATTGCTTTAAAGTGGATAAGTTAATCTTTACTCTGAACCCCGATCGTTCTAACCTTTTTCTGAACCTATATCTTAATAGGTTAATTACTTAACATGCATCTTAGTCATTGATTCATTATGTACCTATATTTGAGTTAGGTCTCAGTAATGTAAATATCTTAATTTCTATCACATTTTGTATTAAATGTTTAACTCTTATCATGTATATGTTCAAATATTTCTAGTTTAATTATTATTAAGATATTGAGTTTGCGATAGTGACTGGGTATAAATATAAGAGACGAAATACGGACAATTATGTTCATTCGTTAATAAACCCAGGTCGACGTCACATATTTAGTACTTATGTTTCTTATAGATTAAAGCTCCTTGAATAATAAATATAGCGAGAGCGTTGTGCTTCGACGTATTAGAGCTACACACCGCAGCATAAGAATTCCTAACATACGTTTTGATAATACAAATACAATACAAACAGACGAATACTTTGTACTTTATAGCGTTATTAATACAATTAATGATAATGATGATATATTTAAAGCTAAGAGCTAAGGGTACATATAATATATATGTATGATACTGATAAAGCTAAGAGTTAATGATACTGATATAGGTATGCTAATGGTACTGATGATATACGCTCGTATGTATGCTAATAGCACTGATGTAAAGCTAAGCGTTTAATAAATAATTGAAGTGCCAAATGAAAATGTGTATTGTGATTGGTCGAGATGTCCCAAATGTTGGATTTGTTCTGGGTACCAGAATTTCGTCATTTCCATAGCCGCTAGAGATTATAAACTAATAAAGACGGACGTACATCACACAGTGTGTGCAAATTTGATATACGAGTAGGCCGTAGTGCTGATGTCCGGACCCAATATCCCTCGCAGTACACTATATGGTTATGTCCATCTACACTAGCCAAGTCGGAGTAGAATAGTGGGAACGTTAAGCCCCATTTAATTTCATTTCACATTTTGTTGGGGGAGCGATGGTTCCGCCTTTTTACATGAAATTCATACTGTCAAAGGTTGCTTTACGTGACGCCAATGTGTACACGTGACCTAGGCTTCTAGTTCCATTCAAACGAATAACCGATACCCCTTCATAGACTATTACATCCTCGACCACGGACAGATGTCCCTTCCCAGGCTATTACGTCCTGCATCACGGACATGGAACAAGAAGAAGTTTCTCGGCCATCACCGGGATCGAACCAGCGTTCTATTCTCGGTTCTATCAGATGCTGGGTGTTACGTTATCGTAACGATACAGCCGATTCGCTTCTATCAGAAGCTGGGTGTTACGTTATAGTAACGATACAACCGATACGCGTCTATCAAAAGCTGGCTGTTAGTTATCGTAACGGTACAACCGATACGCGTCTATCACTTG